ACACACACAGACACTAGTTACCTTTTGGGGGAGTAACTCAATACTGTAACACATTACATAACAAGTAAGTAACACAGCTAGTTACTTTTTTAGGGGAGTAACTCAGTATTGTAGCACATTAATTACCCTAAAAAGTAACTAAGTAACGCAACTTGTAACTTTTTTTTTAAAGAAGAAAAAAAACAAGAAGATCCCCATGTAGACAAGTTCTGAAAGAGATTAAGCCTCAGAGATTAAGCCTTCAGGTTAGAAAAAGTAACTTAAAAGTATTGTAACGGATTAATTACCATAACAAGTAATTAAATAACCCAACTAGTTACTTTTTTGTCGAGTAACTCAACATTTTAAGGCATAAATTACCATAGAAAGAAACTAAATAATGCAACTAGTTACTTTTCTGGGGAGTAACTCAATATTTGAATGCATTAATTACCATAGAAACTGACTAAGCATTACTTTCTAAAATAACAATAAAAAGAATCTCTTGTTTTCAGAAAATGAGTTAACCATTGCCTTTACAACTGTCCTGTGCTTGAATAAAACTGCATTTTGTCAGCATTCATCATGACAGAGAGATGTGTTAAAGTTAATGGGTTAATGGGTTTAACATGAAAACCGCCAGGAATAATATCAAGCTCTGCAAACAGAAATGAGTTTAATAAAGTGTATTGCTGTTTTTCCACACCAGAAAAATGACTGAAAAGAGTGAAGAGATATGACACAATGCATAAACATGCATTAGACGCTTTTACACAGCATCACACACTGCATATAAAGCTGTTATTACGCACCATTTCTGTCTTTTTTATTGTCCAAATATCTACCAATTCTTAAATCAAGCAAGAAAAATTAAGCATTTTCTAGACAAGCACAAAATAATATTGTATTATGTGTGAGATAAATTAAGTTCATTGTTTACCAGCTTTTAATTTAATTGAAATTTTATGTTGACTTATGAAGTTGATAACGTACTGTAATTGTATGTGCCGCTGTTACTCCTCCACAGTCTCTGGGTTTAGTTTAGCGTGCGCCGGCCCTTTAAGAGCAGTGGCTCAGTTTACCCCCACCTGCTGTCATGAGTCACCTGTGCTGGAGACAATTCCAGAGTCAAACACTGAGAAACACTGATGTTCAATCAATCAGAGAGAGAGAGTGTGTGTGTGTGTGTGTGTGTGTGTGTGCTGCACTAGACGATTAGATATAAACGGCTGAACACACTTCCATTATCACATCATGTCACAGTAAATCCAGACAGATGGAGTGAATCAGACACTGACCATCTCCAGCTGATCAACCACACACACACACACACACACAACCTGCACTGATAAACCAGACACACACACACAAACACTGAAACAGACTACACTGATGGACCGCACACACACACACACACACACACACACACACTGAAATATTCTGCCAGAATGAACCACACACACAAACAGAGCCAGCACTGATTGAAACACACACACACAGTCTGCACTGATTTGTCAGACACACACATGCACAGAATACACTAATGGACCACACACACATACACACACACACACACTACACTGATGGAATGCATACACAAACACACACACACACACTACAGCCAGTGTAGTTGATCAGTTCCCCTATAGCGCATGTGTTTGGACTGTGGGGGAAACCGGAGCACCCGGAGGAAACCCACACCAACACGGGGAGAACATGCAAACTCCACACAGAAACACCAACTGACCCATTTACACTTTCATAGTAAATGTAATAATTTGATGTTCAGAGTTTTTGTCTATTTAAAGGTAAATGATCAGTTATTTTAGTGCTTACCGTCTGAGCGGATCTTCTCCATCTTCATGACGTTTGCTGAAATCAGCCGCTGATCCTAAAATCAAACTCAGAGATCATCCTTCACAACATTACTGCAAAAAATGCTTCTCTCTCCTACAGTCTGTGTCTTGTTTCTAGTCCAGATATTTACAAACTCCGAAATCAGACAAGCAAGACATGCTGTGATGTTTTCAGAAATAATGAGTCAAAACTAAGAGAGATTCTCCTTAAAACAAGCAGAATAATCTGACAATGAGGGAAGCAGAATCATCTCATCAAAAGGAGAATCAAGATTATTTTGCCTTCTGTGTTGTCAGATTATTCTGCTTGTTTTAAGTAAAAACTCTCTTCATTTTGCACATCATTTCCTAAATCAAGACAATAAGTTTAGTCTAGAAAATGCTTCTTAATTTAAGAATGTTTAGATATTTGGACAAGAAACGAAACACAAACTCTAAGAGAAGCACATGATGCAGTGACACACATTAATGCACTGTAATCATCCTCATAAGACATGAGAAGCAGCAGTTCAGACACTTTATTACCACAGTAAATGCTACAGCACATGATCAATGACATCATCATCATCATCATCATCATCCAGCAGATATCCAGCTTCATCTGAACAGATCAGGACAGTTTACACACACACACACACATCTCCACAGCAGTAAATCACCCAGAACAAATAAATAAATATTGCACACATCACTGATGCATTATATTTGGTGTATAAAAACAAACACACACATCAGCAGTCTTCATCTCAGGGGGATAGCACATTCAGAAAGCTTCTTTTAAACGTTCAGTTCAGGTTTTGCAGCTTCTTATTTTGCTGTTGTCGTAGTGCTTTGTGTTTTACAAAAGCCTATTATAAATAAAATGCAGTATTATTATTTAAAAACAGATCATTAAATATAGATGCATCATCATCATCATCACACCATTGATGTGCCATTTAGGTAAAATATACATATATATGTGTGTGTGTGTTGGTAAATATTGCTATTTAGTATGGTCTACTGCTCAACTGATGTCCCTTAATGAATGTTCTGGTGTTACTTTAATGAAAAGATCATTGAAATCCAATGCATTCTTTATTCTGCAAATAATTTTGTCTGCCACAATAAATAAATAAATAAAAAATATATATAAATAAATAAACATAAATATATAAATAAATAAATAAATAAATAAATAAATAAATAAATAAATAAATAAATATACACACAAACACTCACACAGTCAGAATTATTAACCCTCCTGTATATTTTATTCCCTTAATTTCTGTTTAACACATCTCTAATCATAATAGTGCGAATAACTCATCTCTAATAACTGATTTATATTATCTTTGTCATGATGACAGGACATAATATTAGACTAGATATTCTTCAAGACACTAGTGTTCAGCTTACAGTGACATGTAAAGGCTTCACTAGGGTAATTAGGGTAAAGTTAGGGTAATTAGGCAAGTCATTGTATAACAGTGGTTTGTTCTGGAGACAATCCAACACTAATATTGCTGAAGGGGCCAATAATATTGAGATTAAAATGGCTTTAAAACTATTTAAAACTGCTTTTATTCTAGCCGAAATAAAACAAATCAGACTTTCTCCAGAAGAACAAACATTAGAGGAAATACTGTGAGAAATTCCAGAATCTGTTCAACATCATTTGGCAAATATTTGAGAAATAATAATCACAGTAGGGCGAGTAACTCTGACTCATACAAAAAGAAAAGAAAGTCTTTTAAGTAAAGTTTGACCTTGAGACAGATTTGCTCAGTTTCTAATGAGGATTCAGAGCTGCTGAACATGATTGGGTCGCAGCAGGAGTTTTGGAATAAGGACACTAAAGGCTTCGTAAATTTAGATGCAATCATGCAAATCGATGTTCAGTGAGAGTCCTTTACCAACAAATCAGCCGTGAAAACGAGAAACAACATCAGTGAAATCACTTCACGCATCTCAGAAACACACATTACACAAGTGTGCAGCTCATTCATACACAGCAATATGGAGCCAGATCACGCTCAGAAATAAAGATCAGATCACGCTCAGAAATAAAGCTTTTGCCAAATAACATTCATGCATGCACAGGAGAACTCATATTTACAGAATACAGTTCATAAATCCAGAACATAAATCATAAAATCAAAAGAAGATCTGTGAATAGACACGCAAAAATCTGAAATATTTACCAAAATTCATTGGATTTGTGCATTTATAATTTGGTTTTGTGCATTTATGAACTAGATATGTGCATATATGAATTGGATTTGTGCATTTATGAATTGTTTTCTCAATTAGAAAACTGGATTTGTGCATGTATGAATCAGATTTGTGTATATATGAATGGGATTTATACATTTATTAACTGATTTAGTGCATTTATTAATCAGATTTGTCCATTTATGATCTGAACTAGTGCATTTGTGAATCAGATTTGTGTATATATATGAATCAGATTTGAGCATTTATAAACTGAATTTGAGCATTTATGAATCACATTTGTGTATTTATGATCTGAATTTATGTATTTATGAATTTGATTTGTGCATATATAAATCTGATTTGTGTATATGAATTGGATTTTTGCATTTATCAATAAGATTTGTGCATATGAATTGGATTTGTGCATTTATAATTCAGATTTGTGCATATATAAATCATATTTGTGTATATATATGAATCGGATTTGTGCATTTATGAATTGTGTTAATAAATTCACTTATTGATTTGTGCATATATCAAATGCGTTTTGAATTTACAAATTTGATTTTGTGTATTTATGAATTGGATTATATGAATCGCGTCTTAATTTATGAATTGCATTTTAAATTTGTATGTGTTTTTCTGAATTGAGTTTTGAATTTACAAATGTTTTGTGCATTTATGTATCAGATTCATGCGTTTATGAACTGGGTTATAAATTTATGGATTGGACTGTATTTGAGAAGTATATACGAATCAGATTTGTGTATATATGAATTGGATTTGTGAATTGATTAAATGGATTTGTGTGTATATGAATCAGATTTGTGCATATATAAATGTGATTTGTGCATATATGATTGGATTTGTGCTTATATAAGTTGGATTGGTGCATTTATGAATTGCATTTTGAACTGATGAACTGGATTTGTGTATTTATGAGTTGTGTTTTGTATTTATGACCTGTGCTGTACATGTATGAACTTTATTTCTGAGTCTGTTCTGGCTCATATCACACTCCATCCTCCCAGAGAAGCACAGTAACTTGTGTTTTTCAGGAGACGTTTGTACAAAATGCAGAGTGGAAGACAGAGACGTAATATTACGCCGCTAGAGGAATGAAACGTGAGCTGACACTTTACAAAGAAATGATCTTCAGCCATCTTCACAGAGCAGTGACATCATCTGACCAGAAACAAACATCAGCCCTGACCCAAACCCCAGTGACCGAGCTCCACATCTACACAGGGCTCCTCATAGAGTCTGAACTGAACACAGCACACATCCACACACTCACATCCAGACTGAACATGCTGGAGTGTGTGTGTGTGTACATAGGCATGTGTGTGAGAGCCAGTGTGTGTGTCTGTTTGCATGTGTGTTGGAGTGGTACAAGTGAGAGAGAGTGTGTATATATGTGTGTGTGTGTGTGTTTCCACAGTCAGTCAGTGTTGTTATCCAGCACCTCTCTCACACACACACACACACACACACACACACACAGTGAGCAGCAGTAATGATCAGTGGGCGGCTGCTAAAGCTCAGTCCTCCTACATCAGGAAAGGTGAAAGATGCCGCTGCTGTAACGTCATGTCAGAATTACTGCACCAAAACACCATCAACACGTCCACACACACTCACTTTCACATATTCAGATCCATGAGTGTGTGTGCATACCTCTGACACACTGCCAGAAGGTATGAGTTTGTTCATGGAAATGTGTGTGTGTGTGTGTGTGTGTGTGTGCATGTGTGTGTGTGTGTGTGTGTGTGTGTGTTTAACTGTGGCTTGAGTATAGACTTTTTAAGTAATAGACATTTCGCAGATGAAAGTGAGTACTGGGGTTGGGCGGGAAGGGACGCGGGGGGGATGTCACAGCAACGGGTCTGGGGAGGGCTTGGGGTGCTTGATTGGGCCCCCTTCATAGTAACTTGGGGGCCCCAAAACAGTGTGAGTCCTAAGAATCGTCCTAACTTACCCCCCCTAACGGCACCTATGACAAATATGAGACTGGCCAGTATAAACTTGCATCTGGACTTCATTCCCACACACACGCACACACACACACACATTCATTTGTAATGGTCATACTGTTGAATTTGTCCTCGATGTTGGATCTGGTATGCGCTGTACATCATAGCTCCCAGCACAAGTCTCAAAGCACCATTCAGAGAAACTCGACAGTGTTTAACACACTCCTCTTCAGTTCTCTCAGGATTGTATGTTGGACAGTACTAATGATATCAGCCGTAATCTGGACATGACACAAACCCAACAGCACACAGCTCCTTTCTGTGTCAGAACACATCTCATGCTACAGGCCCATGGTCATCTACACAGAGGACTGGACGAGTGAATAGAGGCGATGTTCATGAGCAAGTCATCAGTAAAGCCAGCTCTAGTAATTCTCCAGCACACGTGTGTTTAGATGGAGCAGAGTCGAAGGCAGTGTTGAGGGTGATGCATTACAAGTAACATGAGCTGCGTACTGATATTACTTTTCTAATACAAGTAATGCATTAAATGGAGTTTAATGTTGGAGTTACTTTTTTAAAATGCAATGTGACTGAGTTTAGTTAAATTAATCAGCTTTAAAAAAAATAAATGCTGAATCCTCCACTCGATGAGAGAATGAGACAGAAAGCAAGAAGATCTCCATGGAGACAAGCTCCGAAAGAGATCAAACCTCAGCCTTGTCAGAAAAGGTACTGTAACTCAGAAGTAATGCAAGGCATTAATTACCATAAAAAGTAAATAAGTATCGCAACTAGTTATGTTTTGGGCAAGTAACTTAATACTGTAATGCATAAAATATAATAAAAAGTAACTAAGAATCACAACTAGTTACTTTGAGGAGTAATCTAATATTGTAATGCATTAATTAGTATAAAAAGTAACTAATTGGCACAACTAGTTATGTTTTTGGAGAGTAAATTAATATTGTAACATTAATTACCATAAAAGTAACTTATTAGGACAATTAGTTATGTTTTTGGGGGGTAAATTAATATTGTAACGCATTAATTACTATAAAAAGTAACTAATTAACACAACTAGTTACTTTTTGGGGGAGTAACTCAATATTGCAATGCATTACTTACCATACAAAGTAACTAAGCATTGCAACTAGTTACTTTTTTGAGGAGTAATCTAATATTGCAATGCATTAATTAGTGTAAAAAGTAACTAATTAACACTACTAGTTATGTTTTTGGAGAATAAATTAATATTGCAATGCATTAATTACCTTAAAAATTTACCAGGTAATGCAACTAAATACTTTTTTGGGGATATCATAATGCATTACTTTCTAAGGTAACTTTCGCTAGAGCGCCCTTTGGCTTTCATGAGGAGAATTACTACAAATCACACCTGTTTCCTTGATGATATGTGCATGACAATCGCAGCTTTTCTCAATCACAGTTTGATTAATCGTCCAGCCCTGACTAAACGCTACACATTCACGCTGGTGGGGTTAATAATAGTCTTTTTATTTTTAACTAAACAGATTAGTTCCTATTTTCCAGATCCTTCTACGCTACTTGATGACTGCTGCTGCATCTCCAGGAATCCAGTGTAATGCCCTGAAGAAGAAACGACACTGCGCTGTGGGACTGTTTGTGTCACTCGAGAGAAACATGTAGATGAGTTTTTTCGACTGCGCATGCATTTCATCTGTTCTGACGACAGCTGGAACTCACAGTCTGGCTGCAGGTTTTAGCACCAACCGGCGAAGCGTCACGTTCAGTTTCCTCACTTGTTGTTTCAATCCAGGGATCAAATCCAGAAAAGCACTTTGCGCCTTTATTCCGGCTCATTTGCGCTAAACTCCCGGTGCTGTTGCACTTTTTGGCCAGCGGTGGCGCCAGAGAGTCAGGCGGGTGCAGAGATGTCAGAGAAAAGCTGCTCAGGTTATCCGACAACTGTTCGGGATTGTCATCCGAGGGCTCTGTGGAGTCCTGTGAGATTCTGTTTGCGCAGTCAGTATTTCTGCTTCGACTCCTCTGGTGCCCCCTGCTGGACTGGAGGATGGACACAGACTGTACAGCGTGAGGTTTCTGATGGGGAATGTGGGATCTGCAGATTTTGGGCACGGTTTGTTCTCCCGATGCAGAAACGCTTTCTTCTGGCATGGCCTGTAAGCTGCTCACAGAACTGCCTGTGGCCAGTGAGGAATTACTGTAGGACGCCTGCAAGGCAAGGCGAGTTCATTTACAAAGCACATCTCACACACAATGGTAATTTAAAGTGCTTTACATAAAAATTAAGGTTTTAAAAATCTTAAAATACAATATATAAACTACCTGACAAAAGCTTTGTGTCCTATTCAAGTTTTAGGAGCAGTAAATAATACAAAATAGGCATATTTGATCAATCCCTTCACCGGTAAACTGCCGCTTGACTGAGTGCTTTTCTTGACTGAATGTCTTGACTCTGAGTGTTTTTCTGTGATGTCTGACACCTGCGCTCCCTCACCTGAGAGCCCATGACTCTGCTGTCGGCCCCCGGGGACCGAAGCGAGGCCCAAGAGGCTGGAGACGTGTGTCTGGATCCCGGCAGAGCTGCTCCGGGTGCTGGGCGGCGCTGGGGGAAAGCAGCGCTGGTGGGGTGGAAGAACTCAGCCGGAAGATGGAAGAGAGATGAAGACGTCTGACCGTCTCTACTGCCATCTAAACACACACACATGCACACTTGCTACTTTAGCAGGCGGTGTAGCTGTACAGAAACATCATCTCAGCTTTTCGCCGATCACAACATATTTTTCAAGGGTAGGCCAGAATTAATCAAGCTGTTTATGTCAGCTGTGGTGAAGTGTATTATAATCGTGTAAAGGATATGAAACAGAATGTATTTTTGATCCAGCAGTCATGATGTTCTAGCACACTCCCAAACAGCATCAAGACTTTGTAAAAGAGCAATAATAGCCCCCACTTTTAAACTCATTTAGTGCGGCAGAACTATGCATCCCCAAATTGTCAAGTTGTGGGTTTCCATCAAGACATCACAGCCATTATTTGTTCATCAACAGACTCTAATGTCGGCCTGAGGCTAATCAGAAGGACTCGATCAGTTTTAATGGCACAGATAGTGTCTGCTGGACGGCTGCTGTGCTGCTCTGTGTCTCCAATTCCTGCATAAAAATAATCACTTAACATAAGCATTACTAAAGTAAGATACTAATACACTCATAGGCTCAAAGGTGTAACTGGTTTGAGAAGTTGAAGGGCGACATAAAAGTGTGGAAAAGGTCTTGGATTTAAATCCTGATTCCTGCATTTACATTTATTTAGATGATACAAAATGGTGATATGACTATGATGATACAAAATCCAGAGGAAAATAGGCTGATTAAACTAACCTTAAAAAAGGTTCAACTAAACAAAAAAGAAAACTTTATGAAACTGTACATGTGCTGAATCATTATTTTGTAAAATCAACTGCAGACAGACATCAGCATAATTAATATTTATCAAAATTATATGAAAATGTTGGTTATTTTGTTCATTGTAAAAACAAAACAAACACATTTTGTGTAGCTCAAATTGCTAAACATTAGACAAACATCCACAGTGTGCAGTAAACCGTCTACTTGACAGAAAATATGATCATTTTGACCGTATCTATTATTCATTCATACATTCATTTTCAGCTTAGTCCCTTTATTAATCAGGGGTCACCACAGCAGAATGAACCGCCAACTTATCCAGCATATGTTTTATGCAGCGGATGCCCTTCCAGCCGCAACCCATCACTGGGGAACACCCATACACACTCATACACTACGGACAATTTTAGCATACCCAATTCACCTATACCATGTGTTTGGACTGTGGGGGAAACCAGAGCACCCAGAGGAAACCCACGCAAACACTGGGAGAACATGCAAACTCCACACAGAAATGCCAACTGACCCCGCCGATGCTCAAACCAGCGACCTTCTTGCTGTGTGGTGACAGCACCACCACGCTGCCCCTAGATCTAATATACCGAATATTAATATTTCATTGTTGACACGTTAAAATTATCTGCTGCAGCTTTTCACTGTTGTTCAAAACAGTTTTAGTTACCTAAATTTAAAATAGAAAAGCTTAATTACAGACTACTTGTGAATTTACACTTAAAAGTACACTTCTATATACTAAAAAGTGGGCCAATTTAGTTCCAAGCCGTTTCAAGTAGTTCATACAGTGACACTTTAATAAAAAATAATTAATATTAAATAATATTTAATAAAAAATAATTTAATATAAAATTTTTTAATAAAAAAATGATGAATCTCTGTGAAAAAACACTTGATTAATTTTAAAGTCCACTTCTTTTTCATAAGAGGTGTCTGAAGTGGACAGAAAGCTGATAAACGGAGGACACACAGATGGAGTCTGACCTGGAGAATGGAGATGAAGGGTCGACCGTCTGTCTATCAGTGGACTCAAAGCCTCACTGCTGCCCTGCTCCTCCTGCACACACACAACACCACCACCATCATCATCATCATCATCATCATCATCATCATCATCATCATCATCAGTAAAACACTGTAACTGCAGCAACGTGATGTGGCATAGTGGGACTCGATAATCATGACCTGAGCTACATTTTTGGTTCCACTATATTTAAAGGAACAATCCTCACTATTAATAAATCATTTACTGCCTAGTGATTCTGGGTGGTTGCTAGGATGTCCTGGATAGTTGCTATGGTATTTCTTGGGTGTTACTCTCTAGGTTGATCTCTTTTCTTCAGTACGAGGAAAACTCAGCAGGATTGTTCAGCTCCTTCTGTTCTCCCCTGAAGGAGATTTTCTACATTACAAGCAAACACACATTTCCAAAATAATATGAAAAAAAAAGCAGCTACATCAATCGAGAATGAATGAAGAATATATCTCAAAACATTTCCCAGCACACTTGATACACTGAAACCGTCTGCTTTTTTTACACAGCTCTAAACAATAGATAAAGCGTCTCCTCTCTGCAAGGCTGAGCTGAAACACTGAGGGAATCTCTTTTCATCTTCTGTTTAAAGACATCTCAAATGAAAGCTCTTAACATTTATTAACAGAGTCACGGAGAACGCTCGTGTTTTTGGAGTATGAGCTCTCGCAACTTAACCCAAACCCTTGATGCTTTAGAAGTGAATTAAATTATATTAAATATTACACACACAATGAATGAAATAGCAGTGGTGTAACAGATTAAATACTGATGTTATTTTCAGACACCTCTCGTTCAGAGTATTCCTTAACACTTCAGTTACACAAGGATGCAATGAATTGATCAAAAGTCATGTTACACATTTTCGTTTCAGGTTTTAATTCGCCTCTAAATCCGGAGAAATAAAATGCATTTCATAAAAGGTCATGTCCATGTATTGTGCGATAAATTAACACATTGATTACTGTGACTGTGAAACGGTTCAATTAAATTAAAAATAGAAACATTTACTTACTTACTAACTTGTGAATTTAAAAGTATACTTGTATATACTAAAAAGATAAAAGGTTTTTTCCTCATACAGCCTCAAATCACATTACAAATAACTTTGCCAGCCGTTGAAGCAGGTCTTTTGAGCAGGGTGTAATGTGAGAAAAGGTTAAGCCTTTCACAGGGTATAGAGACTCTCTGTAGGCCCTGTAGATGTTAATATCCTCACTACATGAAGTATACTTGTATAAATACATGATCGATAGACAGACGGACGGACGGACGGACGGACAGACAGACAGACAGACAGATAGATAGATAGATAGATAGATAGATAGATAGATAGATAGATAGATAGATAGATAGATACCCCACTGCATTACATGTCAGTAATGATCCAACAGCAGAGTAATGCAGAACAGATGGTTTTTATAGACACACACTCACATGCACACACAAACACTTACACACGATCACACACACACCTTCCAGCCCGTGTCCAGCAGTTGACAGTCGCTGTGTTCGTCCAGACTGATGTCATCAGGCAGAGCGGGTGAAGAGGATTTATCAGACAGCTGCTCTGACATCAGAGACGTCTGCTCCACCTCTGCCAGCCGGATCTACACACACACACACACACACACACACACACAATAATCCGTCCCATTCAGGATGTGAAGTGCAGTCTGTGATGAGTGTTTCCTCAGATCAGAGCTTCACACACTCCACAGTAAATCTGCATGTTTCAGATGCTCTGACTCTTCACTGAGTGCAGATTCTGCTCCACATCTGCTGCTCTTTTAAAGTCATAAAGCTAATATCTGTGATTGTGAATGATTCAGACCTTCAGAAGCACAGAGTATATTAAAGAGAAGTTATTCACTACAGCGTATGAACTATATTGAGTTTTAATGAACAGACGAGGCTGAAATATAAAGCTGCAATGAAGCTTAATGAAGATATCAAAGCACAGACTGAAACTCAATTAGAGGCGGTGCAGTGTGTGTGTGTGTGTGTGTGTGTGTGTGTGTGTGTGTGTGTGTGTGTGTGTGTGTGTGTGAGTGTGTGTGTGTCTGATGCACACCGGGAATACATTATATTAAACAAACATTATTATTTTATACAGTATAACTGAAGTTTACTGTACAAAACTAATGTAATTGTCTTAATTTGAATTAAAACACACTACTACAATAAAAATATATGAGTACAGATTAAATACAAATATGTCTATTTATTTATCGCAACATCCGCAACTTATGGCTATTTCATGGCGAGATGGATATACATAAAAGACTACATATTAAAAACAAACTCATATTACAATAAAAAAGTTACTTAGATAAATATATGAGATATAAATAGATAAAATTCACACAAAAATATATTCAGAGTTACATTTTTCAGTTCAATGTGTGATAAATAATTTAGGATTCTTCCTGGTGGTTTTTAAGATGTCCATCAAAGTATTCTCCTTATAAAGATGTTGTCTAATTGTATTCAAACTTCCCCATTCCAACACAATACGTCTCAAATATGTAGAAATATTAGTGCTGGGCAAAGATTACAGTATTTGCATCAATAATACATGTTTGTTTTGACGTAATATTTGTGTGTGCGCTGTGTATATTTATTTTGTATAGATAAACACGCATGCATGCATATATTTGAGAAAATGTTAATTTGTGTTGAGATATAAAATACATGATATACACTACCTGACTAAAGTCTTGTGGCCTATTCTAGTTTTAGAAACAGCAAATAATAACTGCTCTTCTAGTTGATGATTTGGTGTCAGAAGTGTCTCTGTGAAAGGTGAAGGCCTCTAGATTTTGCTGATTTGAGCTCAATAAATCTGATGTCTTGATGTTGACTGATTTGATGAGGACAGTGCGGTCTGACTCTGCTCAGACTAAAGTCTCATCACTGAACAGAAATAATGTCCAGTATAGAATATAAAGTCCTGCTGCAGTGGAGACAGAATGAATATTGTGTCTGACTCCATCATGAGCTTGGAGGACTGCATCCACACATCTCTGCACTGACTCACATCACTGATTAATAAAGTCATCTGGAATGAAGAAGAAAGCCTTCAGCAGGATCCCAGAGTTCATCAAGAGTCTTTGTGTTCATCTTCAACACCTCCTCCTTCATCAGCTCAATAATGTTCATATCTGGTGACTGGGCTGGCCAAATTCTGGAGCACTCTCTGCTGTCAGGAGCTTTGATGTGGAGGCTGGAGTATGAGCAGGAGCGCTATCCTGCTGGAGAATTGTCCCTCTCCTGTGGTTTGTAATGTAATGGGCAGCACAGATGTCTTGATACTGAGTCGAGTTATTATTTGCTGCTCTTACAACTAGGATCGATGACAAGACTTCTGTCAGGTGGTGTATATGAAACATATACACATGTAAATATCTATACATTGTTTTTATTTAAGTGTATTACATATAAATAATAAATATATATAACACACACACACACATATATATGTCAAATCAAATTTATTTTGGATGCAATCAATCTTGGTCCGGCACTAATAAATATATAAACACACACAGTAACATTTAATAACAATTATGTGTAAGTGTTTGTGAAATTTACTGGCGATATCTAGATGACATCAAACATTAGTGAACTCCTGTGATAGTGACTGATTTAGAGTGTTTGTTTGATCACCTCTCCTGATTGGCTCCTGCCGCCTCGTCTGATTGGTGGAGAGCAGTAATGGTGGAACACCGAGCCGGACAGATTATCAATCATCTGCATTTCTCCATCCAGAGAGTCCTTCATCAGCAGAGAGACGCTCTCCAGCCACTGGTTCTCCTGACACACACACACACACACACACACAGAGATAATTCAGATCAGTACACACACACTGCGTAATAAAAGACTTTTTTTTTTTTTTAAAGACGTTTGTTCCCTCTCAGAACTTTGGATAGCTGCATAGAAGCATACTCAGAGTGTGTAAGTGTGTTTGAGTGTGTATGCATGGATGTGTGTGTGTGTGTGTGTGTGTGTGTGTGTGTGTGTGTGTGTGTGTTTATGCTTGTGTAATTGAGTGAGTTTGTATGTGTTTAGGCATGCTTGCGTATATGCCTGTGAGTGGTGCGCGATTGAGTATGTGTGTGAGTGTGTATACAGTGTATGCGTATACATGCATGCATATGTGTGTGTACGAGTGAGTGTGCATACAGTGTATGTGTATGCATGCAGGAGTGTGTGTGTGTGTGTGTGTATGCTTGCATAAATGCCTGTGAGTGTATGTGCATTTGAATATGTGAGTGTGTATATGTGTGTCTGCATGCATGTGTGTGTGTTTACGCATGCTTGTGTAAATGCCTGTGAGTGTGTGTGCAATTAAATATGTGTGTGAGTGCGTGTGTATGCATGAATGTTTGTGTGCATGCATGTATGTATGTGTAAGTGTGTGCATATGCTTGTGTGTATCAGTGTGTGTGTGCTTGTGAGTTTGTGTGTGTGTGTGTGTGTTTGATTACGCTTGCTTGCAAATATGCCTGCGAGTGTGTGTGCAATTGAGTATGTGTGAGTGAGTGTGCATGTATGCATTCATGTTTGTGTATGTGTGTGTGCATGCTTGTGTATGTGAGTGTGTGCATATGCTTGTGTGTATCTGTGAGTGTGTGCGCATGTGTTTGTGTGTGCATATGCTTGTGTGTATCAGTAAGTGTGTGTGTGTGTGAATATCTGAATTTATGTCCATGTGCGTCTATATTTGTGTGTACGTGTGTGTATATGTATACATATGTGTTTATGTGTGTGTGTGTGTGTGTGTGTGTGTGTGTGTGTGTGTGTGTGTGTGTGTGTGTGTGTAAGACCCTCTGTTTCCTCAAAGCAGCACTGGTGTTTAAAAGCATCATCATTAAAATATTGAACTCCCTCCCTTCCAGCAGTGGCTCCAGCATGTGGACGAGTCTGGAGACGCAGAAGAGCCCAGCAGAGCTTATGTCAATTAACTATATGCAAATCAAGCATAAAGGAAAGCCCCCATCCGAGAGTCTTAAAAGCCTGTTTAAATCATCATAATCCACGAACAAACCAAAGAGCTCAGAGGAGAATCACAACAACAGAGATAAACTACAGTCAAATGAAGATCGGCAAACACAATCAGCGTGAGATGTACACTCACTGGCCACTTTATTAGGTACACCTGCCTGTTAATGACTAATCAGCCAATCACAGGGCAGCAGCTCACAGCATTTAGGCATGTAGTCAAGAGGATCTGCTGCAGTTCAGAGCGAGCATCAGAATGGGGAAGAAAGGGGATTTAAGAGACTTTGAACGTGCCATGGTTGTTGCTGCCAGACGGGCTGCTCTGAGTATTTCAGAAACTGCTGATCTACTGGGATTTTCACGCACAACCATCTCTAGGGTTTACAGAGAATGCTCCGACAAAGAGGAAATATCCAGTGAGCGACAGTTCATTGTTGATGAGGTCAAAGGAGAATGGCCAGACTGGTTTCAGCTGATAGAAAGGCAACAGTAACTCAAATAAGCACTCGCTACAACCGAGCTCTGCAGAAGAGCATCTCTGAACACACAACACGGCCAACCTTGAGGCGGATGGGCTACAGCAGCAGAAGAGCACACCGGGTGCCGCTCCTGTCAGCTAAGAACAGGAAACTGAGGCTACAATTCACACAGACTCACCAAAACTGGACAATAGAAGATTGGAGAAACGTTGCTGCTCTGATGAGTCTCCATTTCTGCTGACACATTCGGATGCTCGGCTCACAATTTGGCCTCAACAACATGAAAGCATGGATCATCCTGCCTTGTATCAGCGGTTCAGGCTGGTGGTGGTGGTGTAATGGTGTGGGGGAGATTTTCTTTGGGTCCATTAGTACCAATTGAGCATCAACGCCACAGCCTTCCTGAGTATTGCTGCTGACCATGTCCATCCCTTTATGAGCACAGTGTCTCCATCTTCTGATGGCTACTTCCAGCAGGATAACGCAGCATGTCATAAAGCTCAATCATCTCAGACTGCTGAACATGACGATGAGTTCACTGTACTCAAATGGCCTCCACAGTCAGCAGAGCTCAATCCAATAGAGCAGCTTTGGGATGTGGTGGAACGGGAGATTGGCATCATGGATGTGCAGCCGACAAATCTGCAGCAACTGTGTGATGCTATCATGACAATATGGAGCAACATCTCTGAGGAATATCTCCAGTAGCTTGTTGTACCTATGAAGGATTAAGGCAGTTCCGAAGGCAAAAGGGGTCCAACCCGGGACTAGTAAGGTGTACCTAATAAAGTCTTAAAAATGAAATGTGAGCTATTGCTGTTTGTGTGTGTTTTTAATCAGGAAAATGGATTAAGTGTCAAACTGGAGTGTCATTTTCATCCACAGCACATGTTGGTCTGAGAGCAGGAGATGGAGGAGAGCGACAATACATCACTGTCACATACACCCCAGTCACTCTTCATCACGTGTGGACAGATTGTGTTGTGTTTCAGCTGCGACTTCATTTCCTCTGATGACTCAATGTGTCTCCATTAACACACACACACACACACACACACACACACACACACACACTCCATCAGATGTCAGAGGAAATGTTCCCTCAGTCAGTGTAATGGCTCATGAGAGATTCATGACTGCTGTCTTGCTACACAAATAAAGTGTTCAGAATCAGATAATAACGGGAAATCAGCATCAGTGCAGACACTGCACACACACACACACACACACACACACACACACACACACACACACCACAGAGAACTCGGTGGAAAACAACAACACACTCCAGCGAAGGTATAAAGCACACCGTAATAGATTGATGGTCAGTGTGTGTGTGTGTGTGTGTGTGTGTGTGTGTGTGTGTGTGCTTCTATAATGGATGGTCAGTGTTTTTGTGTGTATATGTAATGCATTGATGGTCATGGTTTGAGTGTATGTGTGTGTGTGTGTGTGTGTGTGTGTGTGTGTTTCCGTGATAGATTGATTGTCAGTGTGTGTGTGTGTGTGTGTGTGTGTGTGTGTGTGTGTGTGTGTGTGTTTGTGTGAATGTATATGTGTAATGCATTGATGTTCAGTGTGTTTGTGTGTGTGTGTGTGTGTGTGTGTGCTTCTGTAAAGCATTGATGGTGTGTGTATGTGCAAGTGTAACACATTGATAGACAGCGTGTGTGTATGTTTGCATGTGTAATGCAGTGATGGTCAGTGTGTGTGTGTGTAATGCATTAATGGCTGGTGTGTACAGTATGTGTATGTGTGTCTGTGTGTGCGCGACACTTTGTGTGTGTATGTGTGCATGCGCAATGCATTGATGATGATAATGTTGTGTTAGTGTGTGTGTGCGCTTGCATGTAATGCAGTGGTGGTCAATGTATGTGTGTGTGTGTGCGGTGGTGGTCAATGTATGTGTGTGTGTGTGCGGTGGTGGTCAATGTATGTGTGTGTGTGTGCGTGCATGAAGTGCATTGCAGTGCTGGTCAATGTATGTGTGTGTGTGTGTGTCACCTGTGCGGGTGAGTAGAGTCTCCTCTCCTGCAGTGTGTGTTGTGTGTTAGTGTGCGGTGTGTGTGCGCTCTGGTTGTTGCTGTGCACCGCCGCTGTCGCCGCCTGTCTGTTCCCACAGCCGCTCTTCTCTCCCGCATCAGTCGTGGTCAAACGGTCCAAACGACCCAGACAGCAGAGGCCGCCCTGCGCCAGCTCCTTCTCCCGCTCCTTCTCCATCTCCTCCTCCATCTCGGCGTCCTCGATCGCTTCTTTATTGGAGTCGTCCAGATGCTTCATCAGCACCGCCACCACCACGTTAATCAGCACGAACTGCGCCGTCAGCACGAAACTGACGAAGTACAGCGGAGAGATGAACTGCAGGCTGGAGTTACAGGAGGAGCTGTCACCCGGCGGACACTCACGCAGAGTATCCTGAGGAGGAAACACCAGCACACACACATACACACACACACACACACACACACACACACACACACACACACACACACACACACTAGTGATCAACTGCAGAAAACACAACAGCAACATTTACTCTGCTTATTTGTGAACAGCAGCTCTTGATATAAACATTGTGCATTTCATTATTCAGTAAACATTCATTATCTTTCATCAACTATCATAACCTTTCCTCACCCTCAACACAACTCTCACATCTGGATACATGGAACACAATTAGGGCGGAGCTATCAGTCATTCAGAGCGGGACTATCAGTCCTCTAGGGTGGGGTTATCAGTCTTTTAGGGCGGAGCTATAGGTGCTTTAGGACAGGGCTTTCAGTGCTTAATGGAGGGATTGATAAGTCTTTTAGGGTCGGGGCTATTAGTACTCTAGGGAGGGGCTATCAGTACTTTAAGGAGGGGCTATCAGGCTTTTAGGTTCGGGGCTATCAGTACTCCAGGGCGGGGCTATCAATACTTTAGGGAGGGGCTATCAGTCTTTTAGGGTCGGGGCTATCAGTACTCTAGGGTGGGGCTATCAATACTTTAGGGAGGGGCTATCAGTCTTTTAGGACCGAGCTATCAGTAGTCTAGGATGGGGCTATTAGCGCTTTATGGAGGGATTGTCAGTCTTTTGGGGAGGGGCTATCAATACTCTAGGGCGGGGCTTTCAGCGCTTTAGTGAGGGGTTAGCAGTCTTTTTGGGTGGCTATCAATACTTTAGGGCGGGGCTATCAGTCCTTTAGGGTGGGGCTATTAGTCTTTTAGGGTGGTCCTATTAGTCCTTTAGTGCGGGGCTATTTGTATGTTGGGGTGGGGCTATCAATCTTTTAATGAGGGGCTATCAGCCTTTTAGGGTCGGGGCTATTAGTACTCTAGGGCGGGGCTATCAGTACTTAAGGGAGGGGCTATCAGTCTTTTAGGGTCGGGGCTATCAGTACTCTAGGGCGGGGCTATCAATACTTTAGGGAGGGGCTATCAGTCTTTTAGGGTCGGGGCTATTAGTACTCTAGGGCGGGGCTATCATTACTTTAGGGAGGGGCTATCAGTCTTTTAGGGTCGGGGCTATCAGTACTCTAGGGCGGGGCTATCAATACTTTAGGGAGGGGCTATCAGTCTTTTAGGACCGAGCTATCAGTAGTCTAGGATGGGGCTATTAGCGCTTTATGGAGGGATTGTCAGTCTTTTGGGGAGGGGCTATCAATACTCTAGGGCGGGGCTTTCAGCGCTTTAGTGAGGGGTTAGCAGTCTTTTTGGGTGGCTATCAATACTTTAGGGCGGGGCTATCAGTCCTTTAGGGTGGGGCTATTAGTCTTTTAGGGTGGTCCTATTAGTCCTTTAGTGCGGGGCTATTTGTATGTTGGGGTGGGGCTATCAATCTTTTAATGAGGGGCTATCAGCCTTTTAGGGTCGGGGCTATTAGTACTCTAGGGCGGGGCTATCAGTACTTAAGGGAGGGGCTATCAGTCTTTTAGGGTCGGGGCTATCAGTACTCTAGGGCGGGGCTATCAATACTTTAGGGAGGGGCTATCAGTCTTTTAGGGTCGGGGCTATTAGTACTCTAGGGCGGGGCTATCATTACTTTAGGGAGGGGCTATCAGTCTTTTAGGGTCGGGGCTATCAGTACTCTAGGGCGGGGCTATCAATACTTTAGGGAGGGGCTATCAGTCTTTTAGGACCGAGCTATCAGTAGTCTAGGATGGGGCTATTAGCGCTTTATGGAGGGATTGTCAGTCTTTTGGGGAGGGGCTATCAATACTCTAGGGCGGGGCTTTCAGCGCTTTAGTGAGGGGTTAGCAGTTTTTTTGGGTGGCTATCAATACTTTAGGGCGGGGCTATCAGTCCTTTAGGGTGGGGCTATTAGTCTTTTAGGGTGGTCCTATTAGTCCTTTAGTGCGGGGCTATTTGTATGTTGGGGTGGGGCTATCAATCTTTTAATGAGGGGCTATCAGCCTTTTAGTACAGGAATATTAGTCTTTTAGGGCGGAGCTATTAGTATTTCAGGGTTGGGCTATCAGTCTTTTAGCGTGGGGCTATCAGTCCTTTAAGGCAGGGCTGTCAGTCCGTTAGGGTGAAGCTATCAGTATGCTGGGGTGGGGCTATCAGTCTTTAGGGTGGGTCCATCAGTATATTGGGGGGGGAGTTATCAGTCTTTAGGGTGGGTCCATTAGTATATTGGGGCGAAGTTATCAGTCTTTAGGGTGGGGCTATAAGTATATTGGGGCGGAGTTATCAGTCTTTAGGGTGGGTCCATCAGTATATTGGGGCGGAGTTATCAGTCTTTAGGGTGGGTTCATCAGTAAATTGGGGCGGAGTTATCAGTCTTTAGGGTGGGGCTATCAGTATATTGGGGCAGAGTTATCAGTCTTTAGGGTGGGGCTATCAGTATATTGGGGCAGAGTTATCAGTCTTTAGGGTGGGGCTATCAGTATATTGGGGCAGAGTTATCAGTCTTTAGGGTGGGGCTATCAGTATATTGGGGCAGAGTTATCAGTCTTTAGGGTGGGGCTATCAGTATATTGGGGCAGAGTTATCAGTCTTTAGGGTGGGTTTATCAGTAAATTGGGGCGGAGTTACCAGTCTTTAGGGTGGGGCTATCAGTATATTGGGGCAGAGTTATCAGTCTTTAGGGTGGGTTCATCAGTATATTGGGGCGGAGATATCAGTCTTTAGGGTGGGTTCATCAGTATATTGGGGCGGAGTTATCAGTCTTTAGGGTGGGTTCATCAGTATATTGGGGCGGAGTTATCAGTCTTTAGGGTGGGTTCATCAGTATATTGGGGTGGAGTTATCAGTCTTTAGGGTGGGTTCATCAGTATATTGGGGTGGAGTTATCAGTCTTTAGGGTGGGTTTATTAGTATATTGGGGCGGAGTTATCAGTCTTTAGGGTGGGTTCATCAGTATATTGGGGCGGAGTTATCAGTCTTTAGGGTGGGTCCATCAGTATATTAGGGCGGAGTTATCAGTCTTTAGGGTGGGTTTATTAGTATATTGGGGCGGAGTTATCAGTCTTTAGGGTGGGTTCATCAGTATATTGGGGCGGAGTTATCAGTCTTTAGGGTAGGTTTATTAGTATATTGGGGCGGAGTTATAAGTCTTTAGGGTGGTCTTATATTTTTTTTTTATTCGTTCATTTTTTTACTCTGAAAGTGACACAATTTTTCAGCAGTTTTAAGCACTAAATCTAGGGTTCAGGGTTTGTGTGGATGTAAAGCTAGATGATCTGTACCTTCATGATGCCGTTCCAGTTGTCTCCGGTGGACACCTGGAAGAGTGTGAGGAACGCCATGCCGAAATTCTCAAAGGTGGCGTGCCGGCTCATTCCTTCACACGGGTAGTCCTCATTACACACTGACACACAAACACCAGCGGAGAGAGTCAATTCATCACATTTCAGATTTCAGCTGAGACTTATTGATGATAAACTTCAAGATCAGTTTTTAAAACATTTTTGAAAGAAATCTCCCTCTGCTATTGGTTTAATTATTGATGAATACAGTAAAAATAGCAACACTGTGACATTTAAATAATCTAGAAATCGCTAAAACAACTTAAATCTAAAAGGAGGAGGAGCTGATAAAGAGGAGGAGCTGATGATGAAAGGGAGGAGCTGATGATGATGGGGAGGAGCTGATGATGAAGAGGAGGAGCTGATAACAAAGGGGAGGGGCTGATGATGAAGGGGAGGAGCTAATGACGAAGGGGAGGAGCTAATGGTGAAGAGGAGGAGCTGAAAATGAAGGGAAGGAGCTGATTATGATGAGTTAATAATGAAGAGGAGGGGCTGCTGGTGAAGGGGATGGGCTAATGATGAAGGGAAGGAGTTGACGGTAAACAAAAGGAGCTTAGGAAGTTATTACAGCACCTCTCAATGCATGTACCTGTACCTGTTAATTTGTTTATTTCACAAATTTAGCAACTGTTAAATAACTGCTGTGTTTTCAGACTGAGAAAGCAGTTTAATACTCACCCAGCTCTCCAAACAGCTCAACACCGAGTGCAGCGTAGATGAAGAAGAGTAGAACAAAGAGCAAACCCAGATTCCCCACCTGAGGAAAACACACACACACACACACACACACATCTCAAAGACAGCATAAAGCCCAGTGTGAAGCTCCAACCCAGATGCCAACACAGCAAACGGCGTCATTTAATTCCCAGAATGAGCTCTGCGCTGGTCAGAGACTGTCATTATACGCCACCGCTGCTTCAGTGCTTATAGTCAAGGTTAATTCATTTCATTAAAGTCCCAGAAGACCATCTGAGCCCTCCACAAAACAACAGCTTCTTTTCATTCCTCACACTCTTGACTCTTGCTTTATATCAGTGTCGATTTTAAAGGCACAGTTCAGCTCAAAATCCTTCACTCACACTCAGGTGCTTTAAACATTTATAAAGTTATTTCTCCTGCTGAACACAAAAGCAGATATTCTTCCATGACATCCACAGGAGGAGTAAACACAGTGTTTGTAGAGCACTCTTCAGATTATCTTACTATGAAGAAACTCAAACAGGTATGCAGCAAGAGGAGCATGAGGAAATGTGTGAGCTGTCCCTTTAAATCAGATTAAGTGAGCAGTAGTGGCACATGTAAAGCGCTGAAGTGTCATTAATAGTGAACAAGTGGCATTAAGCGCTCTGCAGATTGCCTCCATCTGTTTAACTGTGTGTTCGCGAGCGTAAAATGAGTCAGCGGCTGCATTGGAGAGCCGTGTTGAACACTCAATGACTCCTGAAATGAACTCGTCTGACGCTTCAGTCACAGCACACACACACACACTCAGACCACACACACACACCTCTCTTCCCTATCACTGGCACACTACTGTAGCTTATAGACTACTGCAGGCCAGGGCTGCTGAATGCTGGATTCTGATTGGCTGATGACGAGCATTTTAGGGTGTTTGGTTATTGTCAGATAAATGCACAGAATGCAGAAGTAGTTCCGGCAGGTTTTGAGTGCTGTTTGTGTAAGCGTTGTGTGTGTGTGTGTGTGTGTGTACCTGCGGTAGAGCCTGCACCACAGTATCCAGCAGAGCCCGCATCCCGGTGGCCATCTTTAACAGCTTCAGAACTGTGAGACGGAGACAGAAACAATCACCAAAGGACACACTGAGTGAGACAGGAGAGCTTCCCACTACACAGGCATCCGCCTCAAGAGTGTTATTAATAATATCTAACATAGCAAAACTGACATTACAATGCATTTCATATCTAGAAGCCGTGTGTGTGTGTGTGTGTGTGCTTGTGTGAGAGTGTGTTTGTGTGTGTGAGAGAGAAAGAGTTTGTGCATGTGTGTGTTTGTGCTTTTGTGTGTGTGTGTGTGTGTGTGTGTGTGTGTGTATGTTTGTGTGTGAGAGGGAGTGTGTGCATGCGTGCGTGTGTGTGAGAGTGTGTTTGTGTATTTAATTATTTAAATGTGTGTGTTTATATGCATGTATGTGTGAGTGAATGTGTGTCTGCATGAGTGTGTGAGTTTGCATGTGAGTGTGTGTGTGTGCATTTGTTATTTGTGTTTGGGTGTGTGCGCATTTGTATGTTTAATTATTTGTGTGTGTGTGTGGGAGTGCGTGTATCTGTGTATGTATATGTGTCTGTGTGTATGTATGTATGTGTATATGTAGTATGCACGGTATGTGTGTGTGTGTGTGGATGTATCCGTGCATGTGTATTAATAGTATGTGCATGTGTGTGTGTGTGTGTGTATGTGTATCTATGTCTGTATTTGTGTGTAAGTGTGTGTGTGTGTATGAGTATGTATGCGTGTGTAGTATGCACAATATGCGTGTATGCATGTAATTGTGTGTGTGTATGTGTGCGCAAGTGTATAAACAGTATGTGTGCACGTTTCTGTATGTAGATGAAATGGTGTGTGTGTGTGTGTGTGAGAGAGAGAAGAGAGAGAGAGAGAGAATGTGTTTGTGTGTGAGAGAGAGTTTGTGCATGTGCGTGTGTATGTTTGTGTGTGTCTATGTATGTTTACATGTCTGTATGTGTGTGTGTGTGTGTGTAGTAAGCACATAATGCACAGTAGTATGCACAGAATGTGTGTATGCGTGCACTTGTGTGTGTGTGCATAAGTGCATGACACTATATATCTGAGTTTGTTTAATGTGTGTGTGTTTATTTGTATGTCTGTATGTGCGTGCGTGTGTGTGTATATTTGTGTGTGTGTATATATGTACATATGTGTGTGTAATGTATGTGTGTGTGTGTGTGTGTGTGATGTGTAATGTGCTGGATAAAGCGCTGACCGCGGGTGATGCGCAGGACCCTCATGATGCGGATGATGGTGGGATTGATGGGAAGTGAAGCGCTTATTTCAATCTCCTCCAGAATGATTCCCATCACAGACAACAGAACAATCGCCAGATCCAGCTGATTCCACCTGCGCAAACACACACACACACACAAATCCACATTGAAATGGTCTACAAAGTGTTAAAGATCATGATATTAATTAATTTCAGTGGAACTTTAATCTTTAAACACGATCCAGACAGACTGAGACTCCAGACGGAGAGACAGAATGACAGACAAACACAAAAGACAGATGGACAGACCACTCAGAGAGACAGTGTGTGTGTGTGTGTGTGTGTGTGTGTGTGTGTGTGTGTGTGTGTGTGTGTGTGTGTGTGTGTGTGTGTGTGTGTTTTATTCCAGTGTTTTGACCTGTCCTTAAAGAAGCGTCTGAAGCCGAACGCCACCAGCTTCAGCATGGCCTCGATCACAAACGTGCAGCTGAAGAAGTAATTGCAGTATTTCAGTGCGGTTTCCAGAGACTGACGGAGGAAGCAGAGGAGAAGCAGACGTCAGGACTGCACATTCACTCACATTAATAGATGGAAATCATCTGGGAATAATTCATCAGCCGCTTCAGGCCAGCTTAACTTTCAGTAATCATCCATGATGAACACGTGCACTCTTTAATTGAGTGTCAGGAATGTGCTTGGGATCATGTTTTCAGCTGTATCAGCCATTAAACTGTCTCATTAAGAGTGTAATCACTCTGTCAAATCATTTCAACAGCGTCATTCATATTTAATGACATTTTAATGACCAGCTCAGCTTGTATCAGTGTAGTTGAGGTCAAAATAATAGTATAATAAATGAATCTGTTATGGAATTAATTACATACTATAATGGCCTCATGACAATCATGTTGATGACAGATTTATGACAAGCTTTGTTGTCTTGGTAATGTCGAGTTGTCAAGACAAAGATAAAACATGTATGTGCTTATTTCAAGTTGTCATAACAAACAATGTCATCTTCACATTTTTAAATGTCATCACTGAGCGAATGCATTAACAGTTGTCATAAGCATGCATAACGTCTAATTCAGATTCAGGACGTGTGTCATGTCATGATTATAAACAAGGTTCCCACTCTTTCATGAACAGCAGATTTAGGAACTTTTTTTTAAACCATAACTCTTTTTAACCCAGGTCCATTATAGATACGTACCCCTGTATACATTTCTGGAGAGTGCCAAATATGTCCCAGGAGCTTTGTTGTCTGCAGTTTTGGTTTTCACGAATCCACCAGAGGGCGCTGTGTATGCTTTTTAAGATCTCAAATTTCACTCAGGAGTGCCATTCGCGCCTGCTGTTCTCACGTAAATCCACCAGAGGCCACTGTTTACTGACTGACCCACCCTCCTCCTTCCCTAACCCCAACCAATAGTGTTATGAAAAGCAATCCAGAAAAAGAAAAACCCTCGTCTGATTTTTACCACGTTTTCACCCTGTTATTTACTTGTTTTTTTATGATTTAGCTTCTGTTTTAGTTTTACCTGCTTTCTGGAACCGTTCTTCACTAGACTCAAACCCCGTCATCATGGTCAAACCTTCTCTGTGTCTCAAGTTCACAGACGTACGTGGCAAGCTAATTAGACAAACTGGTAACATAGGAAAGCTGTCCACATGAGGTAAGCGGTCAGCTGGTAGCGTGAATAAGAATGGTGACATACCACCCCGTAGCATTTCTTTTAAAAATGAAGGCTACATAATTCACAATCTCCATAAATGTATATACAGCTACGTTTTCAGAATGAGCCCGTGTTGGTTATTTTCAAATGTAGTACTTTTCTAATTATGTAGTGGCATGAAAGCCCTCACTACTCTAATGTTTCACTTACACTAATTATCTACATTAAGTGTCAGAGTAATGATGATGTTTTGAGTCATTTTCCAACATGCTGACCATCTGAAACAGTCATGTTTAAAGCACTTAAAATGTAAAAAAAAATAAAAAAGTTAAATTTTATAAATTCAATACA